ATAATAATACTTTTACTTTTGTACTCTTTGCAGCCGCATTTATTGGATTATCAAATTAGCAAATTGTGGATTAGCTGTTCGAGCGAAATTTATGGATAACCCACACAAAAGGTAAGCAAATTACTCGAATTGCCAGTGATAATTCGGGTTAAGTTGCGATTGCAAAATGCTTAACCCATGCACCGCTCAACCACCGCCACTCGCCAACCACTTGGCAAGCAGAGCGCGGCCTATTAATCCTAAGTGCTTCCTGTGATTTTATGCAAATTGAACATATCGCCGGGCAACAAGTCGCTCCTCTCTCTTCATCTCTCTCTCTCTCTCGCTCAAGACCTGCTCGTGGCTTAGCAGTCCGCGCATTCAATGTACAAATGACAGTTGACTGTGACATAAAACAGCGGCTTAAAGCGCTGTCTGGGCCAAAAGAAGACGTTAAGAGTTGTTGCCGTTGCATGTCGGCAACAACAACACGACAATTTTCCGTCGACAAAAGACATTTTCATTTATTCATTGATAATGTTTAAGGCCCTTAAACAACAAGCCAAGACGACGGCGACGACGGCGACGACGACGACGACGACAAAGCGCGGCCAAAAGGCAATGAGAAACGAAAAACATGCGACAAAACAACATAATTTAAATTTTGCGCATGCATCAGTCTCGCGCTCGCTTTGCCCACTTGGCAACATGTTGCTGCAACACGCCAACAAGCAACAGCCTCGTAATCCGGTAGCCGCTGCTGCGTTTGACTCCATTCGATTTGCTTTGAATGAAAACGAAATTATCGCATTATTAACTATGAGAGGAGCCCAGCTCCACTGTACTCTGCCTGCCCCCGCCCTCCGCCCCCTGGGGCTACATGAGCCCTGCAGCCCAGATGCTGCCACAGACAAGCCTTGTTAGCCTGGCCAAAGCGCTGCTTAGAATCGTCTGCAGCCGCAGCATGGGCATATTTAACAATAAAATGAATTGTTAATTCTGTTGCACTTTTTCCGCATGTTCTTCTTGTTGTTGTTGCTGAAGTTGTCTGGTCCGGCTGGTTAGCTGCTGGATGCGGCTGCTCAGCTCGAGCAGTTGTAATGCGCAAGTGCCTTTATCTCTGGCACAATCGCGCGCTCAGCTGCGAGGCACTGCGAAAGGCCGTGGCAGCGGCAGCGGCACTCTGCACAGTGGTTCACATTGCAGAACATTTGCTGAAAAGTTAATGAAGTCTTTCAGTGAGAGTTGAGCTGGTAAATGGAATGGGAAATATTATTCATTCATCCTCCCATAAATTGTGTAGGCTAGATTGAATGCTAAATAAAGAAAAAGAGTTATATAAATTGCAAAA